CGCTACAAAGTATAGTTCCACCGAGAAAAATATCGAGGGGCGTAGCCCGGGGGTGCTTAGATCGTTTCGCGTTCTCGCGAGAACGGGAAGGTCGTGCTTCCTCGTGCAGCTCGCACACGACCGGTTCGAGGGACAGAGAAAGGCGGCGCGCGCGTGGGTGGGCCTGTATATCGCTGCGGCCCATTTGTTTTCCGCGACGGGTGAAAAATGTTCTTTCTTTCAGGTAGCCCCGGCCGGCTTACCCGGGTCAATGTCTCGCCCGGTACATAAATACTAAAACCGTTTCTGAATCACGCGACGGCGGTGTTCGTGAACGTGCACACGCGACACCTGCGCACGGAAACGCTCGACGAACGGTAGCAGCGTGTTGTGCATAGTTACAGTGTTGTTGGTAGATTCAGATGTTTAGTATTTCAAAAATAAACGTTTTATTCTACTAAACTTTTGTACACGAAATTCTTCAAGTTTCCAAAGCACTTAGACTATAGCTTCTAGAAATGTTAGGTTGTCGCGATTATTCTATGTGTCCAGCTCAGGATCGTGGTTATCTCAATTAATCGGTAAGCATAAAAATGTTGCAAACTGCAACACGAATGAGAAAGACGGGGCGCGTGCGCCTGAAAAATGATACGGTAGAGCTCGTGCTACAAAGACGTTCTCTGTGATGTACGTCTCGTTTTCCAGTGCCACGAAAAGAAGAATAGATCGAAAGGCAAGCACCAGGACGAACGGTAGATCTTGAAAATGCAATTAAAGCGACAGAGTCGTTTCATTAAACTGTCAGTGGTACGCGTGTCTACGGTCTGCTTGGAAGGATCACGTACCACGAGGTAACATTGGAGGCTTACGTGACACTTGGGCGCAAACGTCCACGCGATGCTGGCGACTCTCGTAAAAACACAGAACTCCATAAACCTCGACCAGAGTTCCCCGTAGCCACGTTTCACCCAGCGATACGGTTTTCACGGAAATTCCGCGTAACTCGGGCCCCAACGACACATATACTCGAGTTCATCACCCCCTTGGTCGCATAAATCGGCGGCTAATGCGACACGACGCATAAATATGAGAACTTCGATTCAGGAATAGAAGACCTCTGAGACGGAGAGAACGAGAATATCATGGAATATCGTGTTAGCGTATATTTCGCCCGGTTGGCTAGGATAAAAAAAAAAGAAGAATTCGAAGATGAACGAGAGGTCGATCCTGTAGCGCCAGAAGTGCCGGACGACATTAATTCAAGCCGCTTCCCCGTCGGTTGTTCTGGTTGGGTATATAACGCATCACCGTTTTCCATCCGATTTATTGGCTAATCCGATATTTATTGGACGCCCGGCCAATTTCCAATTTACGCAGCGGTTAACTGCCACGAGGCCAGCATCGGCACGTTAACTGCCGATGTGCCCAACTGCACCCCGCCACCCGACAGGCTTAGCGTTATATCCGGTTTAATTGGATCGGGATTAAATTAACTTCCGGCAATGATGGAACTTTAACGCGGGGCTTCCTCCTCGGGACCACCCGCCCGTTTTGCTCCCTCTTGTCGCGCTCGTCCATCGATCTCTCAACCCCTTTTCAGGTGCTTGTCCTTCGAAACTAACCACCCACCCTCCAGCTTTGTTGCCCGATTTTGATACCCGATTCACCGCAGTCCAGTATAATTTTGTCCAGCATTGTGTTTCCACAGAAGCCCATTGTTCCCTTTCTTGCTAGCTCGTGGTCCTTTTGTTTACGGGCTGGATTTATTCGCCGAAAGTAGTTAATTACTTGGCTCCGTAACGTATCGTTGATCCAATGAACAAGGTGCTCGGGACGCGACGAAAGTAGGCAATTAGGGTAATTTGCAGGCGAACAGCTTGGAGGACTGAGAATCTGCGACTTGTGTGTGTGTGTAACGTGATATCGCGATTTTGGTCCTTTTGACGAGCTACTAGTTTCCATTTTTGGTAAGCTGTGGAATGTTACACGAAGGACAAAATATAACAACCGATATAAAAACCAACCGCTACGATTAACCGAAAATTATTTCGTCCCATTGATCGTTCAAAGTGATGTTAATGACGGAGTCTGCAATCTTTATTTCACCCGTGGCGCACGCCGTCATTTCGGAACGTTCAACGGAATTACCGACTGAAATTACAATTAGTGTCGTAATTCAATATTCAGTGGGCCGGGGAAACGAACGAAATCGTTGGTACCGTAACGCGCTATTATTTCACAGGAAGGCGCGCCGGCGAGTGATGAAAAATTAACGAGGTCAATCAGTAGGAGCGATTCGAAATCGTTCTCCAAAACGAATCCAGTCGATCGGTACGTTCTCGTAAGATCCGCAAACTTACGTCGTCCCTAATTGAAATCGTAGATAAAACACGAATTCTACCAACTTTTTATTTATAAATTTTACCAGAAGACATTTTATCGTAAGTCGCTGGAAAGCTGTTCTCGATAGGGGTAATTGACGGAGCCATCACCGACACTCCGTGCTCCTCTCGCGTTCTCCGTAGCTCTAGACTAGTACGCTAATAATGACGTATTTGCCCCGCAGTTACCCTCAACGCATTACACGGCAGCCGGGTGCATCGTTGACAATCACCAAGACGCGCCCCGATTCCCGTAATCCACCGAGGGAAACCCTTTGTCCGCCCCCTAAGACGACGCGTGTACTCTATCGAACTGCACGGGGAAGCCCCTTTGTCGTCTGCAGCAGAAATTACCTCGAATTAATGCCGCCCGAACATCCTCCATGCCCTCCCTCCCGAAGCTTTTCCTTGTCTGGCCGCGTCGTCGAGCTTCCGCGAGTCGCGGCGGTTTTCGAGGCATTGTCCCAAGGGAAGCGAGCTTTGTCTGCGACCGACATCCGCTCCTGCCGCGTATTATAATATTTTCCATACAGGGGAGATCGTACTACCCCCCTCCCCTCTTCCCCCTGGATATCCATCGATCGTGGAGATCGTGAATCTGAATTCAAGTATAATCGATTGGGATTTTAAAAAAGAGCAAACCTCGAGTTTAATTGTTGTCGGTGGCGATCTCGTTAGAACGAACGCACGAGGAAAAGGTCTCGTCCTATCGCGCGGTTCCAATGGTCACAGTTTTCACGGTTTTAATAGAAGATCAGGATGCGCTGAATGCGATTCGTTATCTCCGTAATTACGCGCGGGCAGGACCGACGCGCGAAAGTTTTTGTCCAGGTCGTTCGCGTTTCGATCCGTATACTCTCATCGAACACAATGCAACGTATCGCGATCACCCTTTTTAAAAGCTGTTCGTATACATATATAATAAACGAGATCCACAGTGTGATGCATATTAACCTATAACATATAGGGTGAGTTAATAAATACTACTCTCTAAAATAACTCGTTACCTATTGATTGTATCAGCAAACGTTTTAATGAAATATGTAGCATTTTTTATGTTATTTTTTTAGACATTTTTACATTTCATTTCTTTTGTATTTAAAAAAACAATTAATCCATGTTGTCGAGCCGACTGTGTTCGTTTAGCCGAGGGAACACGTTCGTTCGTTCTACGTTGATTCGATAACTCGTCTCGTTTCATTTTACCCTCGAGTCTCGGGTCGCTCATTCACGAGATCCACAGCGCATGCACGGTTTTTCTTGGTCCGTTCCTCGAATCAACTCGGTTTCCCTTCGTTTTTGCTCCTACCGTTCTTCTCTTTTACCCCGATCCTGCATTCGGGTCGCGTTTTCCGGCGTTTAATTATTTGCCCCCTGACCCTCATCCGCGATCCGCCGCCCGCGGCTTTTTGCGCCAAGCATCTAGGAGCGGTTGGCTGAACTCTCTTATTCAGTCTATAGTACCGTTTTTTCTTTCAATATCCCTTATTCGTTGGAAATATTCACGCCTCTTCTGTCACCGGTACGGGGAATCCCACGATGAAACAATCACGGAGATTATCATCGATAACTGAGACTCCCAAATTCGATAACACTGTTCATCGGAAGTGAATCTTCCTCGTTTCTTTCGCCGGTACGATTGATTTCCGATAAATGAACGAAGACTAGCGATTCTGCAAAGTGTTTCCACCCCCTCTCCTTCTGCAAAAACAACCACAGATGAAGGGGAGGAAATCGTGTTGCGATCTGTCCCCAGTCCAGGGGGATAGAGAAAATTGGTCCCGAGTAAAAGGCGCGACTGGACAAAAAGTTAAGAATCACACAGGCGGCACTCTTGGGTTTCCCTGGTTTTTGATCGACTTATCTCGGGTCACGTAGAGCCGGGGCGAGAAGCGTGTTACGATTGAAAGGTTCGCTATCGCTGACCGTAAGCGCTTTCTTACTCGCCGTCTGATCACCCGACGTGACCGCACGACTTCGCGATAGCTCTCGGTGAAACAGAACCGTTAAAGGTAACGAACGGGGGCTCCTCTGGACAACGTTATACGTATATACGCTACCGCTCCACGCTGTCGATTATCCGTTCCACCTAACGAATCCGTTTCCCCGATAGAAATAAAAAACAAAGAAAAGGTTCCGGCGTGCGAACGTGACCCGCGGAATATGTACGGACTCTACATTCCTCTTGAATTTTCCACGAACTGATTCTGATCGACGATTCTGAGCGTCGTCGAGTCGAATATACTTCGATGCGACCGGCCATTAGTTCTTCAGCTTTCCAGACGGACATTTAATTCGCCGATGATCTCCGGATTTTCGATACTTCCAATAAAGAACGCCGAAAGCGTTCGCGTCCCTCCATCTCCGCTCAAAAACAATAAAGATCGTTCGAGCAAAGCAAAAAGGGGTTGGGGGGAGGGCGTCTCGGGGAAATAAATTCTCGGCGACATTTATTTGTCCTCCTGGACATTCCGCAAGATTGGTATTTCCAGCGGGTCGGTATACGAGACCGTTAGAGCAGAGCACGACATACCGTCGCCGCCTGTTTTGAAACGGCAACGGTGGAGGAAGGAAAAAAAAGAGGCGAACGGAGTTCATAGGGACCGACTAAAGCGGCTTTTCTCTGTTCTTTTGTTTTAGGAATTGGAGAGAAGTTACACCCTCTCGACACCGGGTGGTAGCAGCCCCGTTTGTTGCCCGCCCTGCAGCCCGCCACCAGCCCCAGCCGCGTACATATCGAGCGCGCGTGCCTCGTCGCGGAGACTCGGCGCCGGAAGTGGACACGGAGGCCCGCCGTCCCCGGAACGGGATCCCCTGGGAAGACTCTTAAGGTCAGTTCGATCCTCCTTCAACGGGGACGTTATCGTCTAACCCCCTTCGTTGCCGAGTGAAACGTGAAATAACCACCCTGTGTCCTAGGATGATTCGGTCCCAGAATCTTTCGGAAGAACTGCTATCTTTTGCGGAATAGAAGAAACACACAGTGTGTCCGTAGAACTTTGGAAGATGCGCGTAGCGTTTTTGCGCGAACTTACGATGAGACTGGATTTTTAAAAAGTAGTGTACTCCGTCAGCTTATCAGTATTCACATTGTATCAACAGTTTGTTGGTTATTTGTTGTCATCAAAAAATTACCGCGTTAACGACCACCGAATTTGTATATCTTAAGGGTACACAGGGCAACTCAATAAAATCCGTTCGAAGGTCATAAGCCCCTCGAGGCAATCGGCCGGAAGCCGTAAAGCCAGTCACCTTATCCTACGTACCCGCCGATCATTTCCACGGTTGATCACCTTTGGTATAAGGGTAGAACGCTTAAGGTCATCAATCTTCCCCGGACGGCGCCGCGTGTACAACGAATGCATCATTCAACGTGAAACTGCCACTTAGCGTGACTACGGTTTCGTCGCTTGGGAAATTAACCGGGCGCTCGATAAGCGAGCTACTTCGGCTCCGTACCTATGGCCACGTGACTCGAATTAATTGGAAATTTTAGTGGCCCGGCACGCGCTCGTGAAAAGTTCAAGGGGGGAAGGAAAGGAAGTGTAACCTGGCTTGTTAAAAACGTTCGTGTCTTTTAAACTCCGTAACCGACAGGCGTCTACGTTCTTGCCGGGATTCGCTGCAATTTTAATTGGAGAACTAATGAAAATACGAGAGAACCCAGCGGGTCGGTTTTTCCGGGTAAATTTCGTGCAACCGTGGTGTTTCACTAACTTTGGGATATGTTAAAATTTCATTAATCTACGAAGAAAATCGTGCTCAACGGGCTTCGTGAAAGGGAAACACCTCACGGGGATAGATGCGATTCCCTTTGCTCGACTCGCATTATTCCACGTCGCGGTTCGTTTTCATTCGTGAATCTCGACGCTCTCTCCTTTGATTCACACACACGCGTTTCATGTTTGTCATTCAGTCGCGAACTCGGTGTGAACCGAACAGGGAATATTCGTAACAATCACGACATCGACACTTTTTTGCCGGCTTTGTTTTTCCATTCAGGATTTCCTCTTTAATGCTGCGCACGACCAAGACCCTTTTTCAAGCTCGTTCCAGGATCAACGTCTCTCGTCGGATCCATCAAAGAGTCCTCCCGTGTTTCGTTTGGCTCGCAATAATTATTCACAAATCGAACGCGATGCGAAGCGACAATACGAAGCCTTGACCATTACCTCGCGTATTAAAACACGTTTACATAATTATTCGAACGTGTAAACGGACTTTTACACGGGATCTCGAAATCGTTGGATCCGTGTCGATTATTAACATCGCCAAAGATATTCCCCATCGACCGATACAGGTGTTCCGTTGCAGCAGAAAGTATGCATAATTGAACGAATTTTGGTCGGAAGAGAAGGCGTCGTGAGGGCGGAACGTCGTTGGTTAAACTCGAAACTCGCTGCTTTCAGATTCCTGAAGACCTTCTACAGGGAGTTGGGCACACGTGATCCACCCCATTTGCCGGGATGGGCGTCACCGCTTCCACTCGGCACCCTTTGCCCGGCACACTTTCAGCCGCACCTGCAGCTGCTCCACAAAGGCGAACAGGAGCACAGGCTCGAGAACATCAAGCCCGACCAGATCTTCGCCCCCGTCAGGGTGAGTGTCATAAATCCATCCCGCGGGAAACTACTTCCTCTGTCTTACCATGTGGCCGTTGTCAACACTCGCCACAGTGAAACTTTCCGCGACGATCGGTTCTCGCGATTTACAGGTTAGACGTTCGCGGATGGGGGTCATTCCGCGGGAAATCGGCCACTTTTGGGGAAACATTTCGGATTTTCTTGAAACTTGAATACGTTGTAGTCTTCGGTAATATATAATCGTATCGCAGAGAATTTTTGATAATTTTAAAAATTGTTGATTTTACGGATGTTTGAAGTACAACGACAGCCTTTTTTCAATCAATTATAACTGTTGAACCGATAGAGTGATCAAAATGATATTTGCGGGTGCTTAGAGTGGAGACGTAGGAGTACCGAATGAAAATTGTTTCGATTAAGAAGAAATATTTTTTAACCATGTATTTTGCAATCGTGTTAAACGAATGAAGGTTTATAATAGTGGGGCACTGCTTACAAAAATTGGAAAAAAAATGGGGATATACTCCTGTTTGTCCTTTTCATGGAGATATTTTTAAAAATGTAGACACTTCGAAATTGGCTACGTGAAAATTCATTGAAGTTAACGTTAAGTCGAAGGACACCGGTTCGAGATACTAGCGAAATTCAACCAGGAGCTGGCTCGGCTAGGGAAGAAGAACGATAGCGCGACGTGTTGCCGAAGAAACTCGAAAGCGCCGAACTCTGACAAAAGGGTTCGACGGTAACTTGGCTTTCACCGCGATATCGCCGCGAGTTTCCACGGAGCTACAAGTTTTACGCGTTCGACGACGGAAAATCGTCACACCCACGTCGGCCGGCTGTCACTGAGACTACTCGGCTTTCGCAATTACGTAGTCGATATCATGTAAATCCACAGCCGGCGGAACAGTCCTGTCTCCCCCCGTTTGTACAATTGATAAAGGACGTAATACGACTTCGACGAACTCTTCGAGCTCGCCGACCGAACACACGATCGACTGACATCATCGCCCCCGCAGCTAGATTTGGTATCACGTGCGCGCGCGAACCATCGTGCACAAGATGCCTGGAAATTCAATTTTCCATTTCGAACGTTGTTATATTCTCGAGTTAGAGAATCCTACGAACGTGTTCACGGAATCTGTAAGTGTCCAAGCACCGGTCGACACGAAAGGATACTTCGGTCAGAGGGAAAGATCCGATCAAGGGCCACGACATATACGTGTCAGAACTATCCTTTAAGGGGATCGTGATGTATCCTCGGTTCATTTCTCCTTCCGGTAAGTCCATAGGCCATTCCACGCGAAATCGGACACTTTTTAGAGTAACATTTCGAAATTTGTTGAAATTTGGATATGTTGTAGCCTTCACATATATACATATATATCTCGGAGCGTTTCTTCGCGATAAGACGACCGCCCGGGGATATATCGAGCACACGGCCGATGGAAACGAGTTAAACCGCGGACGAAAATCGTGGATGAAAGCGGAGCATGCCCACGGATTCCTGACGAGCCGGTGTACGAGAGAGTTCACTCGAAACCGCGGCATCGTTCGACGACGTTTGTTGCCAATGAAAGATGAATTCTCCGGGTAAAGTCGGCGAATCACGTAGCAGGAGAACAGCTCGATATACGGTCCGTTTCCTGATCAAGAGAATTCTTCAACGATCGAAGAGAGAGAGGAGGATAAAAGTATCTATCTACCTCCTCCAAAACGGAATTTGAAAGTCGAATATTTGTAGCTGGGTCTCGTTCCCTGCCAGAAAGCGAGTCTATCGACGAAAGATAAATTCCCGTTGGTGTCTGTGGAACACGAGGCGAACAGCGAACTAAACATCTCTGACCAGGAGAGGAACATCAGCGATTCGAGGAGAAGACGGTCGGCGATATACATATATTCCTTCCACGTAGGAAATTTTCTTGGATGGAACGCGAAGAAGACGTAAGGAGGAGAATGTAAATTTCCGAGGAAAAATCGCGGACCTGTCGTCAATTTGAGGACAAATATTTCCAACTTGAATATCTCTTGCCGCAATTAAGGGAATCTCGGGGACAGGAGGAATCGAAGAAATGTCACCTTGTTAAGAAGCGTAGAGAACGAAGTGGTCTCTCGAACGAGAAGAAAATCGTTTCGGCGCTGCAGAATCGAAGACGGTGGTCTTCAACCCTTCTCGACGTTGGTCTCCCGATGGTATCTTCAGGCGGAGTGTCGCCGCGGGAGCATAACTCGCTCTTTCTCTCTCTCTCTCTCTCTCTCTCTCTCTCTCTCTCGGTCCTCGAATAAAGAAGGTTTTAATCGCGACCGCGGAGATGCGCCGGGCCGATCGAGAACGGGAACCCGCAGTCTCCACTCGGATTCGCGTAACGAGGCATTGTTCTGTCGCGACTCGATAAGATGTTCGACCACGCTTCGTTAACGTTTCTCGAATGGGCTTTTTAACCGTGTCCTCCACCCGATGGAAAAGTTGCGGACCATGATTACTTCTGGTTGAGACAAGGCTGCCGTGGATCTGTGGATCGAAGAACACTCGGAAATCTGGTTCTCGTCGAATGACTTCGTTTCTTCGATGTCTTATTGTTGAGGAACGTAGAAAGCACGGATGACAATCGAGATGCATTATTAAGTCAGAGACATAAAAATGATCTACAACAGTACAAAAATTGGACCAAGTTACGGGGAAAACTACCAACCCTTAATGATGCAATTAATTTAGTTTGAATATTTTAAATAAAAAAAAAATAGCTTCAGTGCTGTTGCGTATATTTTACTTCTTGTTGATATTTTACAATATTTTTTAACGGCATATTTAATACTTTGACTGGCATGTGTCACTCAAACATAGATGACATGTACATTGCAAAGGAGCTGGATTATTTAAACATCGTCATAAAATTTTCGCATAAAATTAATATTGCAATGTAATTACAAATAAGTCACGCAGCCTCTATTACCCAAACGCCTATATTTTCGACGATTTATGACATAAAAGACGAAATAAAGGGTGTCTGGCAACGTACGGCCCTTTTCACTGTGGCAGTCAACGTGTTAATAATGAGTAATATAATTAATATTGGTTCAAGTTTTCTGTAGTTAATTTTAACTTCGCTTTTTAATTTCTATGGCTTGGTAATTTTAGTAAAATCTCTAATGTAAGAGTTACTCTATGGGTTGGTAGTTGTTGGAGGGTTGAGAAGTTTCTACACAACTTGGCCCAATTGTGAAAGCTTCTAAGGGCTCTTATGAAAGTTACGGCAAGAATACAACCGAAAGCATCGATCACCGAGAATGGCTTGTTAATTCAGAAGATCCATAAAAGACCCGTATCCACCCGTCGAAACAGTCGTTTCGATTTCCCTCCGTCCGCCCGGTCGCGAAACATCTCGATCTTCCTCCCTTAATGCCGGCAGTATCTACTGCCAGCCACGCAAACCAAAGATTTATCGAAGCCACGATAAACCCGGCCGCCGCCGTCGCGGAATCTGCTTATCTTCCAGGTGCACGTATTCCGCTCGGAACCGGAAGATCCGATCCCCATCCATTTTGATTTCTCGAAACATCGCCACGAGTGATATACGCGGAGGAGGAAATGTGTATCCAATCGGAAATGACACGTGTGTACGATATTCGAACCGCTCCTTTGTGATAGATTGTTTAAAATGGACCCACGTTATCCTTAGACGTAGAATATATAGACTGCGCATCAGTCTGGACCGGCGTCCCAACTGTAGAAAGAGTTGCTTTCGGCGACCTCGTGCCATAGACCAGTGATGGGCAACCGAGCCCGCACGAGCAAGTGGCGGGCAGCCGCGGGCTCCTGTGAAGGCGACGCGAGGCAGGAAACGTAACGACATATTTGCGTATTGGTATTCCTTGACCCTTCTCGTACATTATAATCTAAACTAGCGTATCACTCGTATAGATTAATAATCATTTATATTTCTTTTTATTTAAAACAGATAACAAGAAGAGAGTAACAGAAAGAAATCATAAATAATAACAAAATAATTAATTCTAAAACTTTTCAGTTTTAAAAGAAGTTCTAGAATTAGTTATATTTTTTTAAATATACTGCCAAAGAAGAACCTATTCCGAATTGACATTGCACGGTATTGAAAATGCTCGAGCGTCTCAGATTATCGTGCCCGTCGAGTATACGTCGGGGGGTGTTTGGTAGCGCGATACACGGACGAATTTGCGTTCACGAAATCGACCAACGTGTGCCACGGAAAACAAAAGAATCGTTCGACGAAGAGGTATGCCACCGTTTTTCAACCCTTTCGCAGAGCGTTTAAAAACCGTGGATTCGGAAATACGTGAGTTCGATTAAATAACCATTCCGTCGAAAAAAAGAATATACGGTAGGAATTCGAATAATCGTGGAAGTGGGTCAGTTACGCAGGGAACAGTCGTCTGGAATTCCACTGTGCGCGGAAGATTCGAAAAAATTACCAGGGGGAAAAAAAGAGTTTAAATCGAGGATTTCTGCCCCTGCTATTCACGGATCACAGGATCAACGAAGGTAGACGAAAGACTTATCGAAGAACTCCTCGGATCACGATGCTCTCGAGAACGCAAAGAATTCGCGGATGATGCGCCGGAAGAAATCGCTCAGTGCGATAATGAGTTCTTTTCTCTCTCTTTCTCTGCTCCCCTCTCTGTCTCTTTATTTCGCAGCACGAAACGTCGTCGTCTTTCGGAACCGTTTTTCCAGATCAACGGATTGCTCGCTGGCCTGGTGTCGACTGTTCTTGCTTCAAATATTATTTCCATTCTTCTGGCGCCCGCCCGGGACGAATGCACCGACGAGTGCTCTCCGATCTGGCCAAGTGGAAGCGATTTCTTTGTCTCGGGCTCCTCGACGAGGCGCAGACACTCGTGGTGTGTACATCTAGCTACTACACCTAGCGTGTATACACGAGCGTGGATAGACAGAGAGACAGAGAGAGAGAACGAGCCGAGCCGAGCCGAGCGTTGGCCCGCAAACACAGAACCCCCGGCGTCTTGGACGAGGCTCGTCGACCGAAACGCGGAACATTGTTCCCGCCGCCGCCTTTCACCTGTTGTCTCGCCGTTGCTAGTGTGGAAGGGCCATTATAGCCGGGCCGTTTCGAAGCATATTTACCGACACCCGTAGCCGGGCAGACGAGATACGACGTCGTCGGGGGTACACATACAACGATACACGGATACCAACCCGGAGACAGTAGCGACCGGTTAACCCTTTCGATGTTTATGTCGAGTATATTCGTCATTGAAAAGATAGCACTTGCTATTTAAAGTAAAATTTCAGTAAAACAAAAAACATATTCCAAATTTCAACACATTTTAGAATGTTTTAGGACAACAAATAGAAAACATAGGTACGAAGAAAGAAAAATGACTTGAAAGAAGAGAAATATGTACAATGACTGTTTGATAAGACTTTTTTCTCGGCAATAGATGTGCGTTCACGTCGTAAAAGTAATTTCGTCATTTTATTAAAATATATTTCAATTTTATAGCAAATGCATTTGCTTTGCTTTTGTCGAGTATACTCGTTGTAACTTAAATATAACTAAGCACACACAATGCACGTTTTCAAAATGGAGTAAGAGACTCAAAGGGTTAAACGTACTTGCCTTCGGAGCAAGATGAGATTCCGTCGAGCACGACAGGTCCCGTTGTCTCTTGGTGAATGCCTCTTGATGCAATTCACGCTTCTCGATCGAGACACGGAGCCCATTGTGTGTCCCCGGATGTATTGTACACGCGTTCGAGTACACGTTGATTCGTGGACAGGAAAAGCAAAGGAATAAGGCGATCACACGATGTGTCAGTGTTCCTGTAACTAGTGTACTAACGGGGGTAAATGTCCTAATTACTGCCACTTTATTTACTTTACTTAACGAAAACATAACGACCTATAAAGAATTACTGTGATTGAAAAATGTTATTATTAAATTGGGATTCTGATCTACGTAAAAATAAAAACATACATGTACCTGTATATGTATCTGGTATGTAAAAATTACTGTTGAAAAACGAAAGTACAGTTTGAACGTCAAAAACGCGACTACATAAGCAGGGGGTGATTGTGAAATTATAGGAAAGAAACAGTCGTTATTGTACCGTTGGACCTATGTCCATTGTACAAAATGAATCGTTAAAGTATCTAAGAATTACTTTACATTTTGAGGCGACATTTATAGGGACATTTACTCTATACTTGCTTTTTCGTACATATAGAAAGTTTTCTTTGAAGAATTATCCTATATTTACCCCGGCTAAACGACCCGCGTTCGTAAACGAAAATGAGAAGTTATTGAGCACAAGAAAATGAGGATTCTCCCAAATCGGCGTCCATCTTCACGATGCATCCAGCCAGGCCGTACGGAGGGAAATTCGAAAGAAACTGAGGGAAAACACGGCTTTTACGCCCAGGGTTCTTTTTACGAGATTCTTAGTCGCGAGAAACGGGGTGTCATTCTCACGAAATATTCCACGGTCTCCCTCGACGGTGTGTACCAGGGAACACGACCGGAGGACGGTTGGAACGGACGTTCGCGGAACAATGAAAAGGATCGATAGATAGATCCATGTGTGTGTTTGTGTCGTGTGGAAGCGTGGACGGAGCTTATCCTGGTAACGAGCTTACGATCCTTCGTGCGGATCTCGTGGCCGATAGTTGCCGGGCTCTATGGATTTATCTTTGCCGTGCGCGGTGGGTGGAAGGAAAACAGCTAGCAGGTGTATTCGCGAAGAATACGAGACCGTTCCTCCCAGAGCTGTGAACGCTTTATCCCAGCGATTTACGGGTGGACAATTGGTGGCGATAGCACGACGCGTTTATTCCATCGTCGTATTTCTTATTCCTTTCATGGCATGAGACAGTTGAGAATTAAATGTTAAGGGTGAATTCGTCGCGAAGGATTATCGACAGATTAATAAAGCAGCAGTAGTCTCTTGTGTCGTCGATTCCATCGAAGTAAAAAAAATCATCGATGAGTGTTCGAAGGCTTGTCGGCACTGAACATTGCATATTTCATAAACAAATATCACTGGTTTCGGAATTCAAAGCTCCATCGCTGTACTAAACCGCATTAAAAACGTCAGCGTTACACCTAAGGACCTATCCTTGTCAGTGTCGAGGAGCCTTGGAATACTCATCGATGATTTACCGTAGTGGTTCAATTCCTCGCGGAAATCTATTTCGACGCGATCAATCGGTAGCGCGTTAACAGGAGAGTTAGTTGATCCGGTGTAACGGAAACTGATACGGCTCTCATTGTAACGGAAGCTATCCTACCGTGATTAGGGAGTACAGAATTGGGGCAACATGGGCGGATAAACGAGACGTACGGGGTTTAAGATTACTAGAATGTTTGCGCGTTGGAGGATCGAGGTAGGACGGGAGCACTCAAAAAGCCCCAGACCCTCCCAGAGATCACCGAAACGACTAGCCCGATTAAATCATAAAGACGTAAAGGGTTTTAAATCAGATAGGTAAGACTGTTAGATCTTAGTATTTTGTATAATGCGGAGGAAAATGGTGGAATACGGAGTGCTCGTGATCACAGGACAAACCGAGAGACCAATCCGAATTGGTCTGGTAATGCGGAGTATTAGAATATACTACAAGGAGTAGCAGAAGTAATAATATACGAGGGAATCCGCATGGTTTCTGATGGGAATGGGAAGAGAGAGCAGGGCCCGAGTAATAGACCGTAAATGCTCGAGGATCACAAGGGGTAATAGATCACAGGAGAGGTAGGTCTCTTGCGGGGAAAGGCAGCTACGTAACAAAGCAGGATCGTCTAGGAGGACCGCAGAGATCCCCTTATAATAGAAAGCTTACTTAGGCGACCTACGGAACAGCGAACGGGATCTCGAACAATACTAAGATGATACTGTATAAAAATTCGAAATCAAAACCAATGTATTCGTAGAATTGATTTATTCTCGACATCTCATAGCTACCGCACACGATACTCAACAGAAGTTGGTAAAAGTTACGTTTAGGGGATGCAACTCCAATGACCTTCACCTTGATATGTTTTGTCGAGGACACTCTTCTGAGCAACCCCCAAGAAGTTTTAGCCGTCGCTCGTTTTTTATTGAAAAGATATTAGTGAATAAATTTGCAATACATACCAGTAATTTTACGTATTGAAAGACAACTTTCGGAATTACTCGGAAGAATATCCTTAACAACATATGTCAAGGTCAAGGTCATCGAAACTGCATCCCCTAAATGTTACTTTTACTCAGACGTTTACAACATTCGTGTATCACGTACAGTCAACATCCTTGACGAGCACCTAAGCCTTGATGGACAGTCGACGCGATATCGGTAAACAATCGAGGCATTCACGATCGATAGTCGTAATCCGAGCGAGGCGGACGGAACTCGTAGCACGCGACATTGTCTCTCCGTTAATCTGTTCCGTAAGCAAGACGCATCGTCGCGTGTTTGTTCCTCGACCGATCGATCGACGGGACCTAATAGTCGTTGGGAACCACAATTTTCAGTTGGTTTGTTTCTTGGAGCTGCACAATTGCTGGCCCAGTAAATTTTGAGGAGCTAATAGACGGAACGCGTGTCGACACGTGAACGTGCATTTATATTATACGCCTCCAACGCGTAACGGTTCCGTATCGGCAACGTTCAGACGCAAGCACGAGTATTTATATTATACGTTCGTCGGACGGTGGCATCCGATCAGTCGGTCAAAAGAAAGTCATTCGACGAAAAGAAAAAACAAAACAGTTTCATCTGGGTACCGATTAAATTCGTTTCGCGAGCGACAGAGGTGGGGGTTGCCAGTTGCTTCGAACGACTACAGAGTTTCCGCAGACCCGAACATCGTGTCTCACGCGGCAATTATAAGTCGACAGAAGTCTCGTTAGCCGAGTTCGAAACGTCGTTCGACCGTGAACGTCGAGGTGTTTTGAGGAAAAAATAAAACTTCGAACATCGACGACCGTGTCGCGTTTGATCGTTACACGATAAACGTGTGGCGAGTCACTGGTCGAAGACAAGCTACTTGGGAGGCAGTTAAAATTCTACGAAAAGAAGAAATAAAGAAAAGGACGCTTCGTTCGTTACGTCATTTCTTAACGAATCTCGTGGTGGGATGTCCGAAGAATTTGAAGAGAATAGGAGAAGGATTCGCGAGAACAGCTCGCCCGTGTGTACCGGAAACTCGTTCGTCGTCGGGTGGAGGGGAGGATAGACAACTAGACCGGCAATGAGAAGAAAAGTTCTGCGGCTTCGTGACCAGCTTCTCGGATACTTCTCGGTTTCCTGATCCCATGCCGGCCACCAATTAGAACTTAGAATCTCCCGCGTGAACCACTAATCCCATTCGACGGAGTGGCTGTATCTCTGACCCGACCAGATCTTATTCACCGTTGCGCAATCTATTGATATTCGAGACGGCACTCGAACCGGTGTACTAAGAAAGCATTTTTTCAAACGCCACGGAAAGAACATAGAATTACATAATTCATTACAACATAGAATTACATAATTATTTAACCCTTTCGGTGCTAAGAGCGTGTCTACACGGTTTTATGAACTGGCCACTACGAGCAATGTCGTCGTGTTTATGGAATAAGTTTTGGGTTAGTATTTTACCGTCCAATCCATCTCATCCATTATCACCCACGATCTTGTTCGTAATATTTTCCACGCGTGATAGTAGTAGTGCCATAAACGGTAGATTATTCTACGCATACGCGACCCAATTGCTAAAAATATGCCGCAACGAAAGGGTTAATAATGTTTACGTGCAAAATGTTCTGAAGGCTCACAAAAGCACTCAGTAACCGTATATTTTCATATTGGTTCACAGCTAAGCGATGGCACAGTTTCCGAAGCCCCGAGGCGCGTGGCGATCGAGGGCGGTCCAGGAAGCGGAAGAACGACCCTGTGCCTCCGACTTCTCCACCAGTGGGCGATCCAAGGGGACGGTCCGGCTCTGGCTTTCATCGTACCGTTGCGAGAGCTTCGGGGCAGTCCCGTGTTGAATTATCTGATGCGTGAACTGTTCCCGAGATCGGCGGGCATCGGGGACGCGGTAGCTCAGGTCTGGCGGACGTTGCACTTGATGGAGGACCGGGTACAGTTCATTCTGGACGGTTACGACGAGTGTGTGGGCGGCAGAGCGTCCCTGGGCGACGCGGTCGACCTTCTCGAGGGTCGATTGTTCCCGGACGCGAGGATTCTGGTCACTTGTTCGCCTAGCAACGCGGTCGCACTGTCCCCGCTGGTGCAGAGGAGGATTCATCTGGCGGGCCTCGAGTGGCCGCACGTCGAGAGACTCTGCGTAGCGTATTTCATCCACAACGACATCGCCGAGAAAGCTTGCGAGTTCCTCGAGGCGTTGAACGTTCAGCCGCAGACGGTCAAGCAGCTCGGTCAGCATCCGCTCGGCTGGATTATGCTGTGTTGTCTTTACCAGGTATTTGCACGAAACATGTTCCGTAGCGTTAGACCAAAAGTAAACCTCCGACCGAATCGTTTCCCCAGCCCCTCCCGTTCCCTGGATAGCAAATCAGCGACTCGGCTTAAGCTTGTGAAATACGCTCGAAACTCGTGGGAAGGAAAATCGTGGCGGGAGGGGTCGGGGGAATATACTTGACGGCGCGGTAGAATTTGTTAAGGGGTCGCGGTAATAAAAGTAGCCCTTTGCGCACCCGGAGCAACGTGAAAAGGTCGGAGTGGCCCATAAAAAAAAAAACAGTACGGACCAGCAGCCCCATAAAAGTACGCCTTCTTCTGCTCCCAGGACTCCGGCAGTTTGCCGACAGAGACCAGCGCGTTGGTTCAAGCCGCGGTGAAGTGCATCGTAAAACGGAGCTTGGACCCGCCGGTTCCCTGTAACGAGGAGATTCCGGGTCACTGTAGAAAACGTCTCGAGGATTTCGGAAAGTTGTCTTTAGCCGCGCTCAGGGACGGCAGATGCTGCTACACGGAGGCGGAACTCAGGGCTCGGGGCGGTGGCATCGAGGTCACCAGGCTGGGCTTCTTAACCAAGGGATTGACCTTCGGTCAACGACGTAAACCGGACCTTTACACGCCGATCCATATGGCCGTGGCCGAGTTCCTAGCAGCCTACTATCTCACCTCTGTCGCCCAGTACGCGAACATTCTTCGTAGAGAGCTCGAGGGCTTGCCATCCGGTATCATCAGCCATCTGGCTGGTCTCCTAGGCCCTAAAACGCATCTGATATTGAATCAACTTTGCCCCCTGGAGGTTCCGCCCAGGGCCGTGTTCTCGTTGCTGAAGGCAGCCGGCGCCTCCGATGGAAATATCTCAGCCGTCTGCAGACTGGTCGGTGCTGGTCCAGGTTTCGGACCGGCGCCGAACGAACGACCACCAGCACCCTTGGTGCACACCTCGCCCTTGGAGCTCGAGGGCTGGGCGAGGATCCTCGAGAGTCCAGCGTGCACCCTCGAAGCCCTCGAAGTCGTGTTTCAAGTGGAGAGGGGCTCGGATCCGAGGTATCTGGACGATTTCTTCGAGGCTTTAGCTGGGAACGAGAGCGTCAAGCTTGTCAGGATCACGTCCCTTCTCGGCCAGGAATTCCCCGCTGACGAGGCTCAACGGCTGGCCGGACATTTGAAAAGCGTTCTGGGGAAGAAGAAGCTTAATGACTTCGAGCTGGTCATCACTTGCTTGGAGGAAGCGGCTCACGACAGGTGAGTGTGTGATATTCTCTTGTTTCATCGTTTCCTCCCTCAGGTTGATATTTGTAATCGCTTCAGATTGTGGGATCAATCTCTTCAATTGTGGGAACGGTTTGTTTTTGAGTCTATAACTTGTAAATTCTGCAGAATTTTTTTAAATTTCGTACACCGTGGAAAACCTTGATTACCGAACAATATGACCGAACCTAAAAACTTGGAATATATTGCATCAATTTTTCGAAATAAGACTTTCCTGAAAAAGACTTATTTGTTACGATTCTTCCGAGTCGACCCTACGTTCCCTTCCCCTTGAGTTCTATGTATCTCATGGGAAGCGACTTTATATCGTGTTCCGGGCTCCTTTCATACACCCTTCAGCTAAAAACTCATTTCGCGCACATCCGGTCCTACCCTCTATTTGCTGGGAACACCGGGACCGACGACAGCGCGAGACCGAAAACTTTCCACGATACTTACCAGGGCGTTATTGCTTCCTTTCGGTCTCGCTCGGCTGGAATCCACGGGAAAACAGGGGAAAATCTCGGTGCGCCCTTGACACGTTCGGTCCATGGCCAGACAGCCCGTGTGAAATTGCTGGACCCCGAACTCGGTGCTTTCGATTGTGTACAGTTACCTCATCTCCGAAAAATAACGCTAGGAATCGTTCGGACTGGTTTGGATACGTACGCGCTAGACGCAATAACATTACAGGGCTTGGAAAGTTTTCAAGGGGCAGCTGGGGCCGAAGGGAAACCCTCGTTAAACTGCACGGGGTTTAAGCCCTTAGACCGTCTGTCCAGAACGTCGGCTAATGTCTGAAAGTGGATTAAAAAAGTTTGACCCTAGAAGAGGGTATTTCGAGACGAACACGTAAATAGATCGGTTTTTTCTAGCTTGACCGGAGCAGCTACTGGTGTAACGAAGAGTGCAGTGTTTTGTAAACAGAACAAGAAACACAGACTGCAGAACGTCTAACGTCCTTGGTCCTTCGGTAATAAAAAAATATCCTTCGCGGAGTCGCGTGCTCGGACACCGTGGTAGGTCAGAAAGTAAATTAAAAAGTTTACTCTGCTTTTTTTACACGACGGCGAAGAAGACATTTGCCCTCGGTCCGTGCACGGACCAACGAAGGGTGGAAAAAAGATCGTGTTTACCCTGCAAGCGGTGTGTACGAATGCAGAGGCAAGGGTGGCTGTGCTCGGAGTCCCACACCCCCATTTGCATAACCATTCTGGGTTTCCCGTGTGCGCCGCTTATATTGGTCGTGTCAGGAGCCCTGGTTTCCAGCGTGCTTTTTTACTTCTATTTTTTGCTTGTTTTTATTTTCTGCAAGGGAACGAGCACAGCCGCGCGGTGGGAAATCGAAACGACGGGGCCGATTGCGTGGAACCACAACAATAATTTCCGAATATTCTTCCGTTCCCTCTCACGATTCGACGTCGTCCGTGCATAAAATCAAACCCGGGCTGTGTTTTTTCTTTCTGTCCCCGCAGTTCTGATCACGATCTCTCGAAGGAAAGAAGAAGAAAAACATTAGAAACTGGGTTAAGGATATGCTCCCCATATAAATAAAATAAGGGACAAGTTTTGCTGTGGAGGTAAAACGAAATCCCGAGAAACTCGACGATGGGAAAGTTCGCCGGTTTTTGATCATCTTATTTCCTCGTTATTGCTCGCCTCTGCTTCCGGTCCGAAGGGACCGTAAGCAGATCTACGAAGGTTGGAATATTAACGGGGGGTAGGAGGACAAAGTTTTAAAGTGTTCCAGCCACGGTAAAACTAAAATGAAAATTACCCCCCGCCCCCCTACCCGCGGAAAGTTTCTTTATTTACTCTACGGGATAGTGGTTACTCGTCGCTGGAAAGCAACGTTCAAATTGCTAATGACGTTGGAAAACGTTGTGGACTTCTCTCGAGAGGGAGGCGATGAGTTTCCAAAAGAAATAAGTGATCTCAAGCTGGGTCTCAAGATTCATTCCCAAGACGTGGTTCTCATATCCGAGGATGACTCTCCGAAAATTTTCAATTCCCCCGCAAGCTGTCCGCGTGTCGTCGCTGGGAAACTTCGAAGCTAGGGAAAACTTTCCAAGCTTGGCCACCCCCTACCCCCCCCCCCAAAAAAAGGAATTCGATATTCAAAGCACGTAGCCAGCCCGACTTACCGCGAACACACATCTTCGGCCATCTGAAACGCGGCAACAAGAGGGGTGTAACAATGAACGGCCTTCGAGAAGAGGGGTTGAAACGCGGATGCATAAAGTTACTCTCTCTCTCTTTCTGGCTGGAGAAAAAGTCGTGAAAGTGGTGGGACAATACGCCGCGAAAGAATGCTGAGGAGGGGCGGAGACTCAGGAGGGAGGGGGTGGTTTTTTAGAGGGTGTTCGAGGGTCGTGAAGGACCGGTGTCATGGCCCGTGGCGAGAAATTAAGGAGGACGCGGGCTGGTTTTTATAGCTGAACGCTGGACCGACCACGGGGTTAGACCTCGGGCTCTCTACCTACTTTCTTTTTACCCCCGAAATCTTCTTTCGACTTCCTTCCGCCTTCCTCCCTCCTGTCATCCCTCCCCCCGTCACGGTTTCTTTCGCCTTAATACCGCCATTTCTCGCAGAGGTCCCACTTCTGCCTGCTTTTCCCCGCCGTTGTCGCGAAGATCTGCTTTTGTCCTACGAGTTTTAAAACGTCTCGAAAGATTCGTGCTCGAAGAACGATTCATAATTTTCTTGTCGTACCCACGACTTCCGCCCGCGGAACTGTTTGATACTTGAGTCGCTCCCGCCGATTCTAAGTTGCGATCAAATTGCAAAATCCTCGTTTAATCTTGTCGCTTTAGTATACCTCCGCGTTGCTTCTTTCGATCCCTTGTTCCTTCACCTCCTCTCGTCACTCGTGTAATTGGCCCTCGTTTATCGCATCATTCCTGGAAATTCGACCGTCTACAGCTCCGGATGGCGCAATAAACGAATGTCTACTGTGACTTTGTCATTTCGTTAGAATTTATTTCGATTTAACAGCGAAGGCATTCACTCTGCTTTCGTCGAGTGTACTCGTCGTAGTTAAAAAATAACCAAGCACACGAGTACACGTGATCAAATGAAATAGAACACTTAAGACGTTAACAGGGACGACGAGACGCGGCGTCAAACTACCGTTTGCCTGGAGGCGAAACATTCGCACTCTGTCGGCTCATTGTTGCGCGTCGAGACGGCTTTTCGCAGCCCTTCCCCGTCTCCTCCGTTCGACAATTTCCCTCTGTCGCCATTCCACAGGCGACGAGACCCACTCGAAATCGGCCAACCGTCTCCTAGGAGATGAATGCGTGCGAGAAAGAACGCCGATCGATCCATCCGATGCGATGGAACGGATACACAAGGAGTCCTCTTGTTGTTCAACGGCGTAGAGTGCGGCGAACGAAGGGGGCGCTCAAAAAGAAGAAAAACACCGTGGGGGGTCTCGGCCGACAGAAAGAGGGCCGCCAGGGTGCTTCACGGATTGTTCCGCCCTCTCGATTGCCCTGCAATTTCGTTCACCGCGCTTCCTGGGGATTCCTTGCGGTCCGAATCGCTCGAATCGAATCGCGAAAGAAAGTGGGAGGGGAGGAATTGCTGCAGGCGTCGAGAAAAACGAGTACGACGAATGGAATTCGAATAATCATTGAACCACTGTAAGATATGTAGCTATGTTCCGCAGAAATTACGGCGAACTTTGTGAGTCACTTTTTCCGGAAACCCTTGGAGAATAATAAGCCAGATTATGTTTAATACGTCTGTCCGGTTAAACGAATGAACCTCCTTACCGGAATTTTTCAACACCTCCGGAACACCACGGATTTACGAGCCATGGATTCCCAGAAGCGAAACGTGACCGGTGGTTTGTTAAAAACGAAAAAAAATAAACGGCTTGTACAGTATCGGTCGATTAATTTACCGCCCCATTCTAATCTGGACGGACCACTGACGTTGATGAAGAGGATGCCGGCGTTTCATAAAATTCCCGACCGGAATCGAGCACACGCGGTGGACCGGGTGGAGGGGATGAATGACAGTTGACGGAATATTTCCAGTGCAGGTCCAGCGCGTGCAAGTGATAGCGGACGTGCTTGGTCGGACGGCCTTTCCGATATTCAAACCGGATGAATGGAGGGGGATCCACTCGCGTCGCGTTAAAAAATGGAAATCGAGTCGAAGATCGGCCGAGCGCCACGTTATTTTCGGCTGGTACACACCCGTTAACGGACACGAAAGGATCATCGAATACGCTCCGTTTATGCGTTGCGCGAGTAGTAATGAGCGTGCTTCGTCGGACAACGTACGACCGGGTCGCCGCATAATTGTCGGATCTAAATTTTCATTAATCTCGAAAATGAAGAAATTTATGACATTTTACATTACTATAACTTTTGATACCACATTTTCTCATTTTTGTAGCATAACTAGATACAGCAAAACATAATTTTAACATTATTTTTCATTTCCACTATGCATTTAAGGTGCAATTTTCGTCACAATTTGTTATACCATTCGATTTTTCTTCATAAATCTAAAAGTCAAGAGTTCTTTCAACTTGCGACGTAAATTAGCTAAAAGAACTTTAAACAAAATATAAAATAAACAGTTTTTCAAATTTTGTTATAACAATTAAATTAAAAATTTGTGGAAAAAAAACTATTAAACAAACAGAAAACTTGGTACAGAACAAATTTCATTCGGATATCTTTTATGGTTCAAAGGTTATAGAAAATTGTTGCACGATTCTTTGTTCCGGTCGACTGTGCGTCACCGCTGTTTCGAATCGGAAAATTCGAACCTTATATTTTTTGTTTCCAAAAATCATCGTTCGATCCACGGACAAAAACGAGAAAACAAGATTGACGGTTACCCATTGTGTCTTCCTGAAACGATACGTCGATTGTTCGTGCGTCCATAAAAATGGTGTGTATGTATATCGTTACTCCCGCGCCAGATAGCAGGGGCCGCGTCGATACTTTAATTAATTCTCCGAAAATGCGATATCCGGCGTTTTAATTTCAAAAACATCGAAATCGAGAGCTCGAGCTGACCCGGCGACTCTTTGTCAAATAACCGTTCATGAATATGTACGCCAGTTATTCGTTTGTTTTCGCGTCGCCAGCTGCAATAACGTTCCTCGTACGTTGCGTAGAACGGGATCGATTCAAGGGGGTAAAAGGAACACAATGAAAATTTTCTTTAGACCCCCGCCCCCCTAGAATAGTTCAGAATCAACATTTAGCATCTGATACGCTTATTACGCTCAAGGAATTAAAAATTTTGAAACTTATCAATTTTATTCGAATAGAAATAGGTACACGAACACGTTTGGTCAATTTTAAGTAATCCTCTTCGATGACGCCATGCCATCATTCACCAACAGTGTTCTCAATATCTTCATAAAAGTCTGAATTTTTAGGGCGCTTCTTTTGTATTTATTTTTGAAACAGACGATACGAAAGGATTTAAGGAGGAGAACAATAATACATGGAACGAATCTTCCATGGTTAATAATAAGTTGATTTGAGTGTGCTAAGCTACCAAATTTTGATTCTGGATTACTGGATTACTACATGCCCCCCTGAAACCTCTTCGATGTAACGGTCGTCGTAAAAATCCTAGGCCCATGGTATCAGCGTGTTATGCCGCGAGAAGAAAATCCAGTCTTCCCTCGTTTGCAATTCTTCGAGGAGAAACAGCCGTTCTCGGTTTAGCGTAACCGTTGCACGTGTACGCGCGGCTGCCTCGCGAAATAAATGTCGAATAGACTGCGAAGTGAACATTATACATGCATAAATCTACCACGGCTGGTATCTGTATCGGCGAACCGGCGCGCCTCGAACGAATTTGCATGAAGGACCGCTCGGGAGTCTCGGAAACCGGAACGATGCATCTTGTGCAATTTTCGAAGATCGTCGTTGAAGTGGATTCATTGGTTAGCACGAGTCAGGGGAGGGGGGAAGGAAACGTTCGCTGAAAATAATATTGAAAAGCCTTTTTTTCCAAGGGGCCAATATCTATCCTCGAATCTGCTGATTGCCCGATAAAGCCCCGGGCAATGTAGGTCGTTTCCGTCAAACTTGTTCCTATTGATCCGCGGAATGCCGGCCACATTTTGAGCTTCTTCGCTCGGGCGTTTTCGCAAACACCGCAGTTTCCGTGTATCGATAGCAGTGTGTCAAGCAGCCACTGATGAAGGAAACTGCGATGCTTGCGAAACGTTTGCAGGAAAACTGCAACCCTGTATCCTTAACTTTCGGTTGGGATTAGGGAGGGGGCCTCGCACGTTTCTCTATCCGCGAAATCTGCATCGACGATTCCCTTTCTGTACAAAGAGTGCGATTCGACCGAACGAATCGCATAAGGGTAAATATATATGTGTATGTATATATAATAATAATATTTATTTTAACGGGAAACCCCATTTAACACAAAGAATATAAACAGGAACGCGTGAATAAAAGATGAAAGAGAAAAGGAATACAATAACAATAGGAGAAATAGAATATTTATTTGAGACTAGTCAAGAATGGAGATTACATGTAGGTAATTGAAATTTAACCGTCAAGTACGTCGCGGGGTCTGACAGACCGCAGGCATTCGTAGAATATTTTTTATACCTGTCCAGGTAAAGCGTAGATGTCAGGACCGTGGGGAGGGAATTAAGAACTGTCGCTATGTTTTCCGCTATTAAGCCCCCTCAGTTCGTTTTTGGTTACCGAGTTATTAACATCTGAAGTGTAAGTTGGGGTTCGACAGACCTAGCGATGTACACAAGCGTCGGTAAATCAGCGCAATTGGCACAACTATGTTCGACTAAGTGTTATTTTAAGTTCTTATTCGTGCTGTGAAGCTTACTGTGAAGTGTGAAATATGCAACAAATATTAGTTTAATATTCGATTTAACTTTTATTTCATTACTTGAATTAAATTTACCACGTAGTAGGGTCCCTCCTCCTACCCCATTTTTTCCCCTACCAGAAGCCGAGTTTGCACGTCAGTGTACTTAGTGTTGACCCTCACTGTATATCAATTCTATTCCATTGATTTATTCGTGTTAACACTCGTGCAGCGTGTACGACCGAGACCACGGGAAAAGCATCATCGGCGTGGTCGTAGGCGAGGCCGACTAACGATCGGATTAAATCAAGCCTGGCACCGTGATTCAGGTCCAATTTACTGCTCGTCCACGTCAAATTATCGGCAAGCAGCGGCAATATGCCCCAACAACATACACACACACACACACACACACACACACACACACACACACACACACAGAGAGAGAGAGGCATTTGTAACGAACAGGTCGCATCGATCGGTTGTTTCAGGTTGGAGTGCGTGGTGAACGCCCTTTGCCGCGGACTGAACCACGCGTCGAGCAGCCTGGCCCGGCTGGTGCTCGACATGAATTTGTCCGGCGAGCAAGTGTCACGTGTCTGCGACGCTCTAGGGACTGGCGTCCGTCGCCGAGCTGCTAAAGGAGAGGCCGTTGCTGGCGCTGAATCTGGCCGGCAGCTGGGGCGCCAAAAACGAGGATCCCTCAAGCTCTGGAATCAGTATGGGTAAAACCTTGACTTTTTCGCTCTTTTGTTACATTTTTCGTGCCGTTCTTGTTTTGTTCATCGCTAATCGGCCTTTGAGGGCTGATAAAAACTCGTTCGAAAGACAGCGAGATAGAGTCCGCCCGCGGGAGCTATCAAACCGGGTCGAAAGCATTTTTGTTTCTTTTTTTTGGTTTTCGCGATACGTCCCTCGCGTGTGCTCTTGTTTCCCCCGATTCTGTGTATGTGCTGTTCACAGGCTACGTGCACAGGCTTTTATCCGATTCAACGACGGAGAAAATAGTAGGAACGTGGCCACAAGGGGAGATGTCGTGTGATCTTCCAAAAAGCATGCTCTGACGGAAAGATAACTCTGACCTTGACATATGTTATCAAGGTCACTCTCCCGAGTACTGTTTAAAGTATTTAAATCGCTGATCGTTGGTTCTTGAAAAGTTATTAACAAAGGAAGACTGAAAAACGTATTTCTGACGCGTAATCCGATCTGACTAATAGGTCATTAATCGTGACAGTATTCGTGGTATTCTTTGCTTTAATTTCCAGCACGAGTTAGTTGTTCTATGAACGATTTGGTTTTCGAGGGACGGAATCGCGCATTTTCTCACCTCGAATCGCAAGTTCGTCTCGATTCGTGGGCCCTCCGAATCGATTGGCCTGCTTTTTCCGCAGGGCAGGACCGTTGGGAGGGGGCTTAAACTTGGAGGAGTACACGGTTCATCGGTCACTCGATCAACAAGCAGGATATCGCAACGGCGCGTGAGCTTAACGAAGCCCCGGGGCTTAAGGCGAGCTGTATTAATGATCGCTCGCCAGTAAACGCGCCCGCGTTAAAAAATGTTTTTTCTCCATACGCATCACTTCGTTCACGCGCGCACACACACACCGTGATCTATCACGGCCGCCATTAGAGTCAATTTGCATGATGGTTCCGAGCAGCAGCGTCGTGATTCACTTGCGATCCGGATGCACTCAGACAGTACACCGCGATCGAAGTGCCCACTCCGCGACTCTACTCGAAACCGGTCGCAGCGATTCGGTCGAACATTGAAAAGCAATCGGGGCTACCGAAAAGACTTTTCCCGGCAAGCGTGGTCACGGTGGATATCGACGGTTGCCGATTACAGCGAAGCCTCGAATTCGTCTCCGTCGTGTTTTCCCGTTCGATAATTCGAAAAACTGTTATCGTATCGCTTTCGGTTCTTGAAACAGTCAGGAAGAACGTTTATTCCGAATAATTCTTACGAAGAACCTAAATTTCAGACTACGGTAAAGTATCGATGAGTGTTCAAAGACTCCTCGGCACTGAGAGTATTCAGACGTCGTTCCCAACACTCTAGTGTACGTGTGTGCTTTTCTCCTATGCAGATTCGACATCGAAATACGGAAGTTCGGCTAGAATCCACAGGGAATGGAACGATCACAAACGGAAAACGAACGAGCATCGCAAGAACCGGCCGCGACGTGCGAACAGGAATCCATAATAGGCACTGGTGTTTCAGGGTTGGTCGGAGAGTACACGCGGCCATTAGCGCGATATTGCCTCGGAATTAGAAAGTTGGAATTAGAACAGTTTCCGGCACGCAAATCGGAGGGCAGAACTTCCTCGTCGCGGTGTTTTACCATTCGCACATGGAACGAAAGTTCGGCCCTTTCGAACTTTAAGCCGTATCCCCATTTGCTTCGAGCTGCCGCGGTTCTCTGTACACGTGACGCGTAAGGCCGCGGCGCGGAGAAGGAACCGTTCGAATTTATGAACCCTTGAATTTTCTCGGAAATGAAAACTACAATCACGAGGAGGCGAGGAACGAACGCGTCTAATACGGCCATTTTTCCTCGATAACGAATGCTTCCTCGGAACGTTCTCCAATTCCCGTCGGAATTAGTTTCAGCGTCATTTTATCTCGTCGTATACTATGGGAACAGAAATTAAAGAACCGTGTTCCTTTTCGCCCGGGACGATGATATAATCGAGAGAGCAACCTTTCGAGCAACGAACAGATATAAAACACGTTTGCCGCCACACCGTTAATTGCAATTCCGTTAAAATCAGGAGGCCAATCGCACAGACTCGTCGATGAAAAATTCGCCGATGCAAAAATCGTTGGATCGATCTTGTCGTCGAATCGTCAGGCCGGAAGCCCGCCGTTTAGACGACGGACCGATTATGGAAAGCCTTGCGGTGGAATCGTCGAGTCGCTCGTAAACCTCCGTTCAAGGGAATAAACTTTACGATCGACCGTCTTCTCCTCTCCCATCGTGTTCGCCAATCGTTTTGATTCTACGAAGCTTCCGATAAGATGACCCCTACCTCCGACAAGGCCTTCTGGTTTGTCCAGACGAGGAAAAACTTCCTGACTTGGACGAACATATTGCCGCAACGATAATAACCAGTGATTCGTCGTGGCTGGAAAAGTGAACAGTACATCCTCATGCATATTTTATATAGGGATAGTCCTGTGCAAACGACATCTACAAACTGAATCCCCCCGAAAAGAACGTATATCGATCATTTCCGGTAAACCGTGTGCCGCCCATTCCTTACATTCCTATGTAAACCTACTCCCTCAACAACTCTTTAATGTCTTCGTCTCTCTCCCCCGTGTTCTCGCCCGTCTTCGACCTTTGTAACTCGTGTGCTCGAGTGTGTTCTGTACGAGCACGAGTAAATTTGTCGCAACCTGGGCCAGACAGACGCCAGCAAATTCGATCTTAACGTTTCATGATGCGCACCGTATCCTTTGTGCTTTGTTTCGAACGGAAGATTTCAATTGCACGGGGATCGTCTTGTGTTAACGTCAACGAGGTGAATCTGCTACGAAAATATTAATGTACGAAAAGTAGACGAGGTAACGGTTCAACCGCGCGTGGAGCAACCCCTTCGATGCCCTACGTCAAAAAGCAAACACTTGTACACAAGACACCAGTGCATACAACCTCCCTCGTCTCTGAGCGTTGTTGCACACACCTCAAACGATCTCCCCCCCCCCCCCCTTTTCCACTCCTCCAGGATCCGTTCTCGCTTATACAAACGGTGGATCGTACTCGTAGTTGATGTTATCGTCGCGACCAGAGTCGGTAAACACCATCGCGCGCGTGTACTTACATCCTGCGAGAGCTTCTTGCTCCTTCGCAGCCCTCCCCGCAATTACAAACACCTGAGGCAACCTTTGCCACCGGTTTCCTACGCAAGAGGTCTCTTCCGTGGCTCCGATAAACGGTGGAGAAGTTCCGGTTCCTAACAGAGGAACTAGATTCTCTGGGATTGTCGATCGATCGATTCCGTGATCTTTACAAAGTAGTAAAGACCCCTCGTGAACTTCCTCGAACTTCGTTTTGTATGTTTTGTAATTCGTGAACGAGGACTGTGTCCAATTCGTCGATGTTCTTCCTCGTACAATTTGAACTTCGGTAGTTTCACGAAGGCACTTTCGAAAGAGACAGTTTCAAAGTTTATCTCGTTGCTTACACGAGTGTGTCCCTGCATCGAAAGTTCAAAAATCTTTCGATCCTGTAGAATATCAGAATTTTGACTTTTCCACGATTCTCTCTAAACGAATAACAGCCACGGATCGAGTTCACTTCTGACGGGCTGAAAGAAGAGTCCCCCAAGAGTCCCCTACCGCCTCTGGGTCGAATCGAAAACAATCTTTCTCGGGGCGACCACCTCGAGTCTGTAGCACCGTAGACAAATCGAATCTTTCGGTTTGACGGTTTCTCCCCGGGAACAAGACTATTCTTTTACCCTTTACGGATATTGTTTCTCTGTGATATGTACGCGAATGTACAGATCGGACAACGAAAAAGAACTTCCACTCGTTGTAAAGGATTCGTCACTCGTGCATGCCACCGTTTCATTTCGAAAATTGTGGTTGAAGGAGCTTTCAGCAAACAATTCGATAAACGTGTTGTACTCACCGGAGGTACCCAGACATTTTCTATTTCAACGAAACATTCGAAAATCCGCTAAAACCGCTTGAAAGATTGCTGTCGAATCAATACTGAATGCGATTGACATCTTCTCCCCGGTAGTCTACTCGAAATTATAGGTTTCCTCCTTTCGTCGTCCTTCTCGCGCAAGTATATCGTCGTACGCTGAATAAGCACCAACGTGTCTGCGTACACCAATAGCGTACGAAGAGTTACAGGAACGTCTGCGCCGCGTATACTCCAATCTCTCTTCGGGTACTCGATCTTCCAGGCTCAATAAAGCTCGACCAGTATCCGAGCACGCCTATTTGCCTTCGCTTCGGAATTCTAATCAATCCCAACATCCCCCCACGCGTCTGACCCCCAATGGATTGTCTGATAACGACGCGGCAACGAATGGGAAAACAATGTACCCAGTTGAAACAGTAAGAAGGGTAGTTTCGGACTAGAATAGTTAAATACGGTTTGGCGCGATGGATTATACTACTTATAACAGTCGATTTCCAGCTGATACACGGTATCGATCGATGGTTTAGTTAAATTTCGAATGATATGCAATCAAATGAATCACATCAACACGTGAAACAATTGAAAAGCACGACTCTCAAGTAGAATATGCCAGCGTGTCAGACGTATGTTAAGATGCATCTACCCTGTGTAGCGAAACAGTGTTATATAACAAATTGTTGTAGTATTTCCAAATAATCCAACGAACGCTCTGGGGTCATTCCTCTGTACCCGAGCAACATATACAGTAACGTGTTTTGTAGGTCAACATGCTTCTTGCGCGACAGAACGTCGCATCAAAGTGTTCCAATACAGGCGTTCCAACTGCTCCCCCACCTCCCGTTGCTAGTGCGGTGACCGTGGGGCTGTCATCGATTGTCCTGCTTCTTTGCACGGTTGGTTACCGGCACGTCGATTCGACGAAATCGGATCCTGCGAAGTGGTTCGGCTAATGGGGGTGGGGGCTGCTGCCCCAGGCGATCGAACGAACAAAACACGAATGTGTGAAAACGTGTTCGTTCGATTTTAAATTCCCAGCGACAACGCAATTAGGGGGGTGGAGGTGT